GCGTGCCTTAAAGATTGATATATCAAGCTACCCCCCCCCCCCCGCGGTTCAACTCCCAGCTGCGCCGTGTAGGGGGTTGGTTGAACGTGGTTGGTTGGGTGTAAACGGTGGCTTGGTGTAAAGGGTGCTGCTGCTGCTGCCGCTCTGCTGCTTGCTGCTGCTGTTTGCTGCTGCCGCTGGTTGCCGCTTTTGTAGCTGCTGCTTTGCTACTTGTTGCGGCTGACGACGCCGCTGCTACTGCTGCTTGCTGCTTGCTGCTTGCTGCTGCTGCTTGCTGCTTGCTGCCGGTGGTGCTTGCTGCCGGTGGTGCTGCTGCTGCTGCGGCTTGATGCTGCGCTGCTGCTGCGTGGTGCTGCTGGCTGGCTGCTGGTTGGTGGTTGCTGCTGGCTGCTGGCTGCAGGCGGCTGCTGCTGCTGCTGCTGCTGGCTGCTGCTTGCTGCATAGGACTTGTACTTCACCGTTACAAGTTGTTTACCCCTATTTCTAACCTAATGCATGCATAAGCGGGGGGTAAATTTACCTCCCAGATTTGCCATAACCATAAGCCGGCTATTTCCTCAAGACACTCTACTCCTTATACCTTTTACCAGTGCTTATCCTACACTACGGACGCCCTAGTGTATGCACAGTCCTTGTGATGCCAGAAATGCCTACCCCTCTTTCCAGCACAAGGCATACATAAGCGGGGGGTAAATTTACCCCCCAGATTTGCAATAACCATACACCGGCTATTTCCTCAAGACACTCTATTCCATATACCTTTTACCCGTGCTTCTCCTACACTACGGACGCCCTAGTGTATGTACAGTCCGTATGATGTCAGAAATGCTTACCCCTCTTTCCGACTCAAGGCATACAAAAGCGGAGGGTAAATTTACCCCCCAGATTTGCCGATCACGCATCTTCGTGCCTGCCAACGAGTGCACCCGGGTTGTTCCAATGTACCTTTCCCAGTCAGCGATGTCACATTTACATTCTTTAGCGCAAAGTATGTACATAGCAACCTTCCTCCCAAAACATGTAATCCCTACATGCTTTGCCGACTATGTAACTAGTACATCTGGTGCGATTCGGCTAGCTTTCGACCTCTCCCCCTGGCCTCAAGTTTAAATCTCGGAAAAATTGAAAACTTGAAGAAACTAAATGAATATGAAGAGAATTCCCGGGTGAAACTGAGGCAGTTGGACTCTGCAGTATGTTTTCAGTAAAGGTTACAGTGAACTCTGCAGTTAAGCTTCACGAGTGCCAGGTGAGACAATCCAAGCAAGCTGATTTCGAGCAGGAAAAATTCAGTCGAGTGAACTTCAGAAAAACTTCAGGAAAGCTTACTCCCGCGGTGAGGAGTGAAAAGGTTCTTGCAGTAACGGCGCCCCGTAGGGATCACACAGCATACCACGGTGGGAAGAAGCTGCGGAAACACACTTGAGAAGGTTGCTCCGTAGAGCGCGATTTCAGGCTGCTTCGCGGAGTGCATTAGCCCTTTAGAGTTACTGCAGGTTAGACCTTGACTGAACAAAAGGGTGCAAAGTCGGTCGAACAGAATTGTTGTAACAAATCATGGTTTAAAAAATTGAGAGCAGGTACACACTCAGGCGTCCCTGAATGCTTCCACCAGTCTTCTATAGCTTCGTTGGGCAACGTAAGAAGACTGGCCGTTGCCCCCCTGCTGGTACGCTGTCCCCCCCTGCTGGTACGCTGTACAAGTGGCATGACATGAATAGAAGGAATAGCTATTATAGTGCCCTTGGAAACAGGGTTGGACACACACAAAAGTATTCCCACTTGTACCAGAGCTCGCGTTGGAGGCTTTGGAGCAGTTCTAGCAGTTTCTAAAATGTAGGTTGTCCATGGGCGCGATTTGGGGGAAGCTGGTAGTGCCGTTCTAGGTAATTGGGGTATTTTGGGTCATGTTCAGCTGCAAGGTAGGTCTAAGTCTTTTGGTTCAACAACTTGGCAAACTGGGAGGTGTGCACAATAATGAGCGCTGCACGAGCCATTAGGGTGCACTTTTGTGTTGACAAGAAGAGAAAATTTTAGCGTCAAGGCTGAGTTCAATGAAGCGAGGGCATTGCAATTGGTATGGAATGCTTTGAAGCATCAGCGACGCAGCCGCCCCTATTTGCAAGTGACACAGGTTGCAGCTTTGGATGACATTGTCGCGGCCTTCTCAGCAAGACAATGTGAGTTCAAACTTGTTTTGTTTCAAGTCCTTGCACCCCCAGTGCTTGCACAAAAATTGATTTCTGACGGACTTTGATGTGGAGTGTGCAGTGCAACACCGTGGTTTCATCCAGTGACAACTTAAAGATTTGCTTGCCTGAATTTTTAGGCCGTTGGCCTCGTGGTTCCTTCTTTAGGCATGGGTCAAGAGGAGTAAGTGTGTGATTACAGAAGACCACTTCAAACACTAGCAGGTACTGAGAAATCTCGGGACATGATTGAAGAAACAATGCAAACAGTTTCAATCACTCAATTGATCCTTCCCCATTTGGGTACATCGACGTATGAGGTGACCAGGATCAGGCACAGTCACTGCTGTCAAAGATTCAGGGCCGAGCCTGGCTCTTGGGCACCAACTCAAGTGGTATTCAGATATTTCAAGAAGTTTGGAAACAAAACCCGTTAAAATCTTCTAAATCCGTTTTATATGCAGTAAATTGCTTGGCACTTGATGATTTTTGGCACGTGTTCCGCTGCATCATCGTTCTCGACAGACATTACTGTACAAGATACATAGTGATGATGACACCGGGAAGGAACTCAACCCTTGCCCAATTGTTCTTCCCGGGGTGGCCGCCAACACTGCGGAAGAGACACGGAAAGGATTACCGGGATGCAGGTAAATGTTGTCACTACAACTGACATTCTTGTATGCAATTGAGTTTGCAGCGGGCACACAGCAGCGCCTGTTGTATCCTGTTACCCACTATGTACAGCTACATGTCCTAGCAGCCATGGTGGGACAAGCGCTCCAAGAGCACTCCACATGCTCCTTGGCTAGCAGCTCGTTTCCCAATTCACAACCTATCGAGGGTAAAGGTTTGAACGTCCAAACTGGAGCCTAAGGCTTCCTTTAACGCCTTTAAGGGGGGGTGCTTTTGTTTCCAGTGTTTTGCCCTGGTCGTGTCGGGCAATAGCAGCTGAGATTTGACTCAGGCTCGCCAGATGGCAACATGCTGTGGAGCAAGGGCAGCTTAAATGCAAGAAAGGGCTTGGCTCAGAGTATCTCAGAGTGGAAGCACAGCCCCAGCCTGACAATGTAGCAAGCGACGACATTTCACTGCCTGCTGCAACACAGAAACCGACGTGAACAGTTTCGCTGGACAGGGGTAACTTGATATTGATGGATGTGTTTCTTTGTTCCCATGGACTTGCTTCACACGATGTATGTAAGACTCTCCTTGAAGCCACACTACCTGCCCGCCCAAGAACCAGTGTCAAGAATCGTCTACCGTATCACTTCAGGATCAGATGGCTCAGACCACTTCTCCATGTGCTATGCTCCAGCGCTGGTGGGTGGAGGCTTTGGTCCCAGCGGGGGCCACCTTCAATGTGATGCAGGCAGGGTGGAGGAACATTTTCCAAGTCACCCCTTCATGCACCTCCGGGCTTCCAACACTCCATGAGGTAGCTTCTTCTTCACAGAGTCTCCAAAGCCTATGCCTGAGAAGCAGCTCACAAGTTTCGATGCAGGCTTGTGGATTTGAGGTCGTGATGTAGCTGATGTGTTTATGTTTTTTCTACCAGGCTTTTGCTTCGACTCTTGGCGTCCACCGCTGGCTTTCTGTTTGAGTACCCGAGGTTCTGTTGCAAGAACCCGCGGGTGGATGTTAATGGCACCACGGTATTTGCCAAGATGCTTGTCTTTGGACTTTGGACTTCTTGAAATTGGAAGATGTTGCGGCTAGGAGCCGGGGAATGGAGAATTGGGAAGCTGTGCAAGTGTTGCGCGCAAGGTATTGAATCCTGTTTCAATTGGCACTGTGCCGAGGAAGAAAGAGCTGTGTGGGGACGTCCTGGCTAAGTTCAACGAGGATTCCCAGCAGATCAAGCATCTCGTCATGCTGCATGCTGGGTTGAGCATGCTGTATTGCTTGCCTAGCCATCTAATGGGTGCAGGACCCACTCACTCAGTCAACAAAAGCCCCTGACCCTGACCACCTAAAACATCCTAAAACATGTTGGTCCAAAGACACGTCGGTCGCGGCCGCACTTGCTACCTTGCAGTCTACTAGTAGCAAGAAGCTACTAGTAACAAGGGCATCCCTACTAGTAACATGTGCATTACTACTGGTTACAAGAAGCTACTAGTAACTTACTAGTAGCTAGAAGCTATTTAGGTTGGAGGCCATTCTTAGCAGGTGGAGGCCACTACTACTAGTAACAAGAAACTACTACTGTAGTATCGATGCACTTGACGTGTGGACGATGTCGCCACCAAGGTTTGTGCGTGGCCCCCAGGCGAACGCCCGACAAGAAGACCTTGATGACTTAGCATCGGCGGGGCGAGGTGATACCGTGCCCTCTGTGGTGGGATTTAATTCGGTCAAGAAGGACGGGCAGTTTGGACAGGGCGGTTCGGCTGTGAAGGATGTAGCGTCTCAACAGCAGCAGCGCTGGAAACTGATTTGCCTACTTGGCTTGTGTGTCATGCTGGAGCGTCACGATATGTCACAATGAGCGTCGCAATGTATTTGTTACTTAGCGTTCTACATTACATTGTTCACCTGCCTCAACAATGTAATGTTGTTGCAGTGCATTTCCAACATGTACTGGTTTGTTTTTACATATTTTATAATGATTATTCTCTGTTTAGATCTGTTTAGAGCTGCCCATATGTAGTTCCAAATCAAAGCAAGCTGACGTCGGAGAATGGGCTGTTGGGAAGCTGTCTTCAGCAAGTGTCATGGGGAAAGGCATTCAGCAGTTGGCATCGAGTGGCAGGACGAGGACTGGCAGCGAGTGAACCAAGCCGTTTGTCGAGGTGACAGAGGTACTTTGATCAAATGGGTCAACACCGGCAAGGCCATGGGAGAGGGATGAGTTCGAGGGCGAGACAAGGGAAAGGGGATGACAGGCTTCCTCGAAATTGAATGCTTATTTCCTAGTAGCGTCCTTGCTCCTAGTAGCGATGCCAGGAGCCCCTAGTAGCTTCTTGTTCCTGGTAATACGGCCAGGAGCCCCTAGAAGCGTCCTTCTTCCTAAGAGGTATGATGCGCAGATCTCTCCCCTTTTGAGAAGAGCAGTTGGCGACAAGCAGTGCAGCGGCATGCTTTAGTACTTAGGAACTTCCAGCGTAGCATGGCTTGACAGGAGGATGCCATGGAAAAGAACTATGCGGAGCTGTGTCCAACGGGCACAGTGCCTGTCCAGGGGAGGCCGGATTGCTGTTGACTCAGTTGTACAGAAGACCAGCAAGGCAGATTGTTCGCAAGGCCATTTCATCAGCATCCGTATATCTTGCTCAGGGGCTACATGTCCTTCCAGTGCGATGGACATGTCATCAAGGAGAGAAGGTACTACTGCTGCAAAGTCAATGGCGAGCTGTGCCTTGATTCGCCATAGGGTGGGGAGCAAGAGTGTCCAGAAGAATATTGGAATGATTGCTTACACGATAGCCTTCTAAAATGTTCAAAAACGATCAAACATGTTGAAATCACAGGTTATCGGACCATCGTGAAAGGCTTGAAGAATGAGTTTTCTCAAGCTTGCAGATGCAACATCCCCCATTGTCCATCTATTTGCCTTGAATGTTTAACCCTGCCCAAAATGGTTCGCACTTAACCAAGAAGGCAAACATTACCGAGCACTCTTCACGATGTTGGAAAACTTGCTTTGTGAGCTTACTGCTGGCATCGCATGAAGTGTGACACCACGGCACTTCAGGCAATGTTCCTCCACCTTGGTCGACACCACTGCCATGAATCCAGTGTGTGATTGCCATCAGAACAATGTGTCGGTGGCACAGGCCCAAGGGAGAAGCGCGAGAGGTTTTGGCCATGCGGAGCTCTAGTTCTTTGTTTCATGTAGGCTTGACTAAAGATTGTGAGATTGTTGGGTTTGGCTATGTGAGAAGGGATTCAAAACTCCATGAGGATGGTCGCCCAATCCGCTGGATGTTGGCTCAAGGGCTAACAGGCTCCAATCGAAGGTGGCTGATGTGGTCGTGTGATGCGTGACGTTTGCTGTGTGTGTTTGCACCGGACGCGACGTCAGACACCCTGTGGCCACTCCCTATGCAAGCACTGCTTGCGCCGCTTGCGCCGACGCGAGTGCCCATATTGCAGGGAGGAGTTTTCTTTTGAGTTTGGCAGGGAGGAAGTCCAAGCCAAAGAGTTGGCAGAGATTGCACCTATTGCTTCCAAAGAGCTTGAACTCTTACGGAACTGTGATAGCTTTGAAGTGCTACACAAGAGTGTGTCGAGCTTGGCTCCCAGGCTGCCAGTAACTTCTCCTGCTGTTTCTCAAAGCTTCAGAAGTGGCGTAGCCAAGCAGAGCAGCGTTCTCCTGAAGAATGGGTGGATGTCGATCCTCGAAGCAAATGCCGCAGCTCGAGTGCTCACAGGCTTCATGGAAGATGGATTGGTCGAAGCATCATGTGCGTTACAGACCGCTATCGTAGATGCAATGCTTTCACTGTCTGCGGGCAGACCGGTCAATCTACGGCCATCATCAGCCTACGGAAGACGGCCAGCATCAGCAAGCACTGGCAGAATGCTCAAGCCACAAGAGCCTTTAAGAAATTGGGTGCAAAAGGCCAGTTTGTTTGCAAGCCTTGTTGAAGCAAGGCTGCTGGATGGTGAGCCTGTCTCCAACTTGCGCGTGGTTTTGGTAGACGAGCTTCGTCGTTCCTTGAGAGACTTCACTGCCCAGGACCTCCTCAATGCGGCCACAGAACTTAGAGAAGGTAGCATGTTTCTGGACTCTCAAGGAGCAATACATGCAATCTCTGAAGCCTTGACACGGCAAGAAAGACTTGAAGGTGCTACAGCCATAGCTCAAGCCCGTTCAGTCTTATACTCCTTGGGCTTAGTGACTCCAGTTGCGACGAGCCACTCTCGTCGCCCCACCTCAGCCTGCTTTGGGTCCAGACGGATGGGGAAGCTTGGCTCTAGTGCTCGGTCAACAGGGGGCAAGGACCAAAAGATCCTTAGTAATTTTAGTACTCGCCCAGTCGGCAAAGACTGCTGACTTGACAGGCTGCAAATCGAAGATAAACAGACGGAGAGGAAATGGAGTCTGTTAACTTGTTTGCTCCATGTAGCTAATGTGTACAGTATTGTGTATGTACTTGTTACTACTAGCGATGCACTTGTTCCTAGTAGCGTGGCACTTGTTACTACTAGTAAGGCACCTGTTACTAGTAGCGTGGCACTTGTTCCTAGTAGCGTCCTTGTCCCCATCCGTTCGTTCCCGTGCGTGGCTCCCAACGTATTAAAGGAATCCAAAGGACCTGTGGTCGTGGCACGGGCGTGGTTTGTCACATTTTGCCTCCAAGATCTGCCTTAGATCTTGGATGTTGCCTGCAAACAACAGCCCTCCTAAGCCGATGAACCTCAGGTCGCTATATTTTTTGCCCCGGCATTTGGATTCAACAACCTCTTCATATGTATTTTTTTTATTGATCCAGAGTCTACATAGATCCGCTCCCTGGAATCATCATGGAAGCGGCAAACCACCTGTTTGTAGAAGAAACGTTTTCCAGGGGCCTTTTTCCACTTCCATGATTCCACAAGACCATATTATTTTCCAAACCGGGTATATAAGTAGTGACGGTAGTGATAGCAAAAACATGCAAACACCTAGGATTCTCGCTAACCAAAGCACCATTTTGCCATGATACTCAACAGAACTTTCCAGATCATTCCACCCGCTCGCAGGACTTCATGGCTCCCTGCTTGTCACTCTTGGTGATCCGGCGCCGAAAGCAGGCAGCAGGATTCTTGTGACCTCAGAGGCAGACTTAGCCAGAGAAGCAGAAGAGCCACTTAAACATATTTAACCATCGGAATCCCTTGAAAGCTCCCAACTGTCCCAATTAATGTAGCTGAGAGTGGTTGTGCTACAGAGGGCGCGTTTCCTGCTTACACAGATGATGGAAGAAGGCGTGCTGCCCTTTCAGAGCCTGATCAACCTGCATCCGTGAAAGCTGAGCCAAGAAAAGCGGTGCCATCGGTTCCTTCCGGAAGCAGCAATCAGAAGGCGTTTTGGTATTCACATGCTCGTGGAATCAAACTTGAATGCTTCAACAACGGTCCCGCGAATGTTTGTGTACGCAAATACGTGATTGGGCACATGAAGCTCAAGCTGAGGTGATGGTTGGGTTGGTCGAAGATGATGAGGTGCACGGCACAGCAGACAATTCAGTGATATGTGAAGCAGAAGCCAGTTGAACAAAGGCAGTGATGCCAGCTTGGAGTTTGCCATCCAACTTGCACGGCCTGCACAAGCACGCACGCATGCAGAGCATTGCAGAGTTAGGTCCTGGATTTCGTATCTACTCGAGAAAAGATCAAAGGAGCGAGTGGTGGGTCTTGGGCTCAGATCATCGAGAAGGGAGCTGCGGCCGTTCCGTGTTCGTAGCCGCCAACAAACCATTCTGCTCGAAACTTCTCAAGAACAAACTCGGTTGACAGTTGCAGTGGCATTTCTTCAGGCGCGATTTCGAATGGATTGAAGTCAAAAGTGGTGGACATCGAGTGGTGCCAGAGTTTGCAGGATCCCCAATTTGTCATTTGCGCTGCTCATCCTGTGACAGTCACCCAATGCATCCAAATGCCAAGGTGGCGCCATTAGTTCAGTTCGCGGAGTCTGCAAGAATCTTGGCTGCCAGCTTTTGGATGGTGGGCACTTTCTTTGGGACAGCTATGGCAGCCATTAGAGACCAGCTTGTCAACTAAAAAGGGCTACTATCCAAAGTGTATTACACATGTTACCGTTGTTACGGGAATCTCCACAGAATAACATGCCGTCGGCAAATCCTCATGCCTGACCAGCTTAGACAAACTGCCACTGTTGTGTAACTTAGCAGTTGCACTGACCTGCATGATATCTATTACTGAGTACACTGATCGTTTTAGCAGGGGTGGGAGTCTTTGGAGTTGTTTTGGAGTTGTGCCAAACAAATCAGCTCAGGAGAGCTTTTTGTACATGGTGGAGAACTTTAATCACAGTGTCGCGGGCGTTGCAGAAACTGTTTAGCTGCAAATGACCAACCCATGTGCATCAAAAGCAGATGACTCATGTTTTAGAGCTTTAACGTTATGCTTGGATGGCAGCACAAGTCTGCAATGTAGACATCAAAGTTGGAAAGATACGAGCAGCTCGGAGGGCTGGCAGCATCCCGTGCGTGGAAGCAGACAGCGGGCTCAGCGGACAATGAATTTGCCGGTAGGTTGGATCCAACATTGGAATTCCTGGGCCCCAGCAAGATCACTGGCAGCAAAAGCAAGACTGCCTGTTGACCCAGTAAGAAAGAGTTTTTCTCCACAAAACACGTTCAAAACACTCAGCGATTGGACGGTGGACTTGGTTAGATAGTGCTCTCAATCTATCTCCGGCCCAAGCGAAGCGGTTAGTGGCACTGCGGACTGCCCGGCAGAATCTCAGGTCCACAGGACCGCTCCTTGGGAGCCTAGTGCCCTGTGAGAAATTGGATGGGCCAAAGGCAGAGTCTGCCGTAGATGTGAGTAGAAATTGAATAGAACTCAAAAAATCCTGGGACACTCAGCTTATCATAGCTGCTATATGCTGCTATATATAGCTGTTGCTTTTCCAGGACAGCTACTTGCAAAATCATCCTAGTTGCCCAGGGTGCGTGAGTGGGCGAGAACGTTGTCCCATGCTAGCAGCTGCTAGCATGCACTATCCAGAGCTGCACACCTTGCTGGATGGCTTTTGGACACCTTGATCACATGGATGGTCAATGTTCTTCACTCTTGCTGGACGACTGGCACCTGATCGTTGCCCTTCCACTGTGAGATGAGATGTGCGACAGCTCGAATGTTCAGCACTAGCCTGCGTTGTTGTTCAATGGCTCGAGTTTCGAGCTTGGGCTTCTTAGTGGCCTTAGCGGCAACCATGAGGCTGACTTGTTACACTTAGATACTTTTACAAGGTAACGACACCCTGCCAAGCCAAGAGCCGCTTCCTGAGGCCCGGCGAATTGATCCGATCACTTCTGAATCCTCATCCAGCTACATCTGGCTCCACCTCAGCTGCGCCACTTTGATTGCAACTTGGGGTGCTCAGATTTTTATGTTACTTGGAAGCTGCTGGAAGATGAGTCAGCAAAACTGCAGGCAGGCCCATGTTGAACCACTTATTACATAATAAGTAGTCGCATTTTCTTGGGATAACTATTGGACGCCCGCCTGTTTGATGTTGGACAATGCATTCATGACTGCTATACTAGAGCCTGGTACTGCTCATTCAGCATTCAACCTCCACTGGGCATGTTGCGCAACGCGGCACAGCACCATGTTTTTGCAGCTCATTGTACTTCAAGCAGTTTGTCAAGGACAAACTGCTCATTTCAGGTCGAGTGGGAGCCACTGCTGAGGTCCAACACCGTGATCAGCATGCCATGCTGAATCTCAAGACCTGACCATGTTTCTGCAAAACCACCCTTAGCATTCCGTTTCTCATGCGCAGAAAACCAGAGAAATTCGAGTGGAGATTGGCTAGATCGCTCCGAAGCAAAGAGGACTTTCCAATTCGGTAGAATCCACGTGCGGGGTCCGCCAAGCCGCTGAATTTGCTGGCCTTGCCATGGATGACCTATGCCGCTAGATGCTAGCTTTAACCTGCCCTCGGAGGCCGAAACTAAGGTTTTTTAAGACAGATCTTGAAGTGCAAAGATTTAGTCAGGTTGTTTGTTCACATCAGTACCTGGGGTGGCTGGTTCATATCAGTTTACGCCCTGAGATTTCAAGTCGCAGTTTTAGCATTTTGTTATGTTTAGACTTTAGACCCCCAGGAGTTGCACATTCATCATTTCCTTTGCAGGCCTCGTGTTATGCATATACAATGTAGACAAGATAATATTCAAAAAACATATGTAATTAGTTCTTTAGATGGATGGGATTCTCGAAGGATCTTACAAATATAAACTTCTTATTGACAACATGTCCGACAGAACACACAACATCACCGCAATGCACTTTGCAAAGCATCACGTCCTTTTCACGAAAGCTAGCGAAGCTAGCTGGAGTTACTCCCCCCCCCCCCCCTCCTCCCCTCTCCCCACCTCCCCTCTCCCCACCTCCCCTCTCCCCACCTCCCCCCCTCTCCTCCTCCTTGTCTTCCTCCCATCTTCCCTCCCTCCCTCCTCCCTCCTCCCTCTTCGCAAGTTCGACTCCGTCCTGTCGTCGCTCTTTGGCATGCGGTTAGCGTTGCGTATCTTGCGGCCGCACTCGCTCACTCTCACTCTCACTCTCTCACTGTCTCACTGTCTCACTGTCTCTCTCATCTCTCTCATCTCTCTCATCTCTTTCTCATCTCTCTCATCTCTCTCTCCTCTCTCTCTCTCTCTCTCCTCTCTGTCTCTCGTCTTTCCGTCTCTCTTCTCTCTCTTCTCTCGCAGGAGGATCCGGGCAAAGAGCCACATATAAAGGACTCTTCACCCCTGCCTCCAAAAAGAGCGCCGTGTTTTTTCCTACCTCGCTGCCCTCCACTTTCCCATTCTGGAGCGCTAGCTTTCGCCCCCCCCTTGGCCTCAAGTGAATGTTTTGACATTTTCCCCAACCGGCTTTGCCTGAGATTGCCGGCATATGTCTCTTTTTTGTGGGGTTGCCTCTTCCAGCGATGGCAGTTGGTATTCCAGGCGAAGTTACTTCCATACCCGGCGCTGCAAAGTCTGCCAACGCCATGGCCTCGCTGTCAAGACATCCGTGACTTTGGTTGGCATTACTTCAAGCTTAGGGAATTCGGAATTCCATAGCAGTTCTGAAACCGATTTGATTCCATCCAGGTCAAGTGATTAATTATGACAACGCAATCGACAACCTCGCTGACACTGGTTTTGTTGACCGTTCTATTGACGAAGCTGAGGTACAATGCACGAAGAGCCTGCAGCTGGAGACTCTCTAGTGGTAGTCTCTCAGTCATGGTCTCATCAAATGCATCCTGATCCCACTGGGGTGAAGGCCCTATCAATAGAGTGCGTGCATGCTGGTTGGGCAAATGTAGAGGGCGGGACCTTTGCACTAAGCATGCACCAAGGATTAAAGCAGTGGTCCCAAGAATGCCATGGGCGTTGACTGACAAGCTGCTTTTGGCTAGTGGACGCAGTGTAGACAAGACGCTGGAGTATTTTGTTCTGGCTTAGACAAGTGCGGATGTAGGAATAGTTTGGCGCAGATTCGGCAGAAGAAGGTCAAGTGCGGTTTTGGATTTGACTTTTGTTTGCGGCAGGCTCTGGAGATCATCGCGGCTGTGAAAAACGTGGTCACTTAGCACGATGGACCATGGAGATAGCTTGGTCACAAGAAACACACTGGATAATACTGGATAAGAATCGAACATATAATAATATATATATATGTGGACTAAGTATTATACAACAGTGTCAGCAGCATGCATCCTTAAGCTTGAAGTGGTGCGACAGTGTCAGCATGAATTTGGCGAGGCTGTAAAGCTCCGCGCAGAAGGCCGGCTCCTGGTCTTCTGTGTCCCTTGGAATCCCTTGGCCAAACCGTGGGCTTACGCACTGGAAGATTAACATGGAACCTGAAAACGACTGGGTCATAGAGGAAAATAGCCTTCCAAAGGTCCATTTTCAGGTTCCATGTTAATCTTCCCGGGTGTAGCCCAAGTGGCGGAATGGACACGAGAGATCCCAGCTTTGAAGGTTCCAACTTGTGAGTAAGTTCGATGAATGTCTTCGATTGTTTGCTCATTTTGTTCCATTCGGACTCAGCCTTGCTTGGAACGGCAGCCGAGGACTTTCTGAGCATGCCACAGCCCCCAATGACTCCAGAGCAAGAGCCATGGACCAAGGAAGATTCGCTTGCAGTGCAGCAGGCAGGGTCGAGAAATTTCGGACGAGACAGTGGTACATTGAGCATCTAGAGGTTCCTTTTTGGTGCATCTTGTAGGTTGGAGGCCATCGCTATTACCAGTCGAACGGACATGAGTAATTTTGAGCCTTTCTTCTGAGCACACGACGTCATTTCCAATTCCGCTGTGGAACTGATTCATCCAATTTGCCCAGACCAGGTGATGGAAGCCCTTCCTCAGCTAATGTTCAAAGCGGATGCGGTGATTCATATCATTGGAACACCTGGGAAGCTGATGATGGGCGAAGGGGCCTCTCGCCTGTACTTGACGGTCATTGCCCAGATGTCCATGTTTGATTTGTGCAGCATTCTATCATGCCACCCTCCATGAGAAACAACACTCCACCACCCAATGCTGCCTAATCCTCATGCCCACTCCCTGATACTTCAACATTGACGTCTACGACTTTCAACAGTTTGCCTCCTGAGTCTGGCGTCCCACTCCTCTCATCATCTCACTCATAGTATCTCACTAGTAACACGATCTCACAGAAACTCTTTAGGCCCCTGGAGAGCATCGATCGGGTTGGTTCTGACGTAAGCACTCTTACAAAAGGTTGCAAGGTTGCTGCTTTTGGAGCGAGCGTTTCCAAGGAAAAGTACCACACAACATTCAAGGAGCGGTTGCTTTTGGGATCATCTTTCGGGTGACGAAAGTGACCACGGTTCCTAGACTGTAGCAGACATGCTGCCACTATATCCCTCTCGTTAGCTTGGATTGCCCGCCGGCCCACCTTCAAAGTGGCCGGAGCAGATGCATGTTTATCATACATTTTGATGACTCGATGTGTTCTGATGTTGTGTGTGGGCGCCTGTCGCATGTGAGAAGTCAGAAGGCGGTCTTTCGACAGGAGATTCAGCGAAGTTGCAAACTGCGACAAGTTGGCATGGTTGTCCAGGTGGGTCTGGAAAAGCGTATGCTCAGTGGCTCGAGCAAGTAGCACCATAGCGACCAGAAATGGCATCCGGTACTTAATGCCCTGTGTTCCTGGGATTTTGGCGGTCTTAAGGTGAAGCACCTCTAATAACCCTATTAACTTATAGCTCTGATGATATTCACAAGTAAAAATAACTTGAACCTTTGTACCATCAGGTTGGGGTCAGCAGAAAGCTGAATTCCTTTCGGAATGAATGGCGGTTCCCCCTGCGAAAGTTTATTGGTTAAGGTGCTTTGAGCGGCTGTGCGGATTGCACACTGTTTTGGGTGGCTGGTTGAGAACGATTCTGCCGCACCAATTCGGGTGGGTTTGGTGGGTGGCGTGTGCCAGTTGGCTGAGAGTGTGGAAGTCAGCATAGGCATAGTGCTGATGTCATTTCTGAGCATTGACAGAAGGATGAAACCAGTGTCAAAAACCTGATGAAGTTTGCACAGCCCTCCTGCAAGCTGTGTGAAAATCGTTTCAGACGATTCCTTTAATTTAACGTGTCAAGAGTGGCCTGAGCTTGACCCCCCCCACGCACATTTGAACTTGCCCGCAGGTTTGGGAGGAGTTCTTGCAGTTCGACAGTTCGAGTACCACAGCTGGCAGGATTCCCAGATTTGGTTGCCAACGTTTCAGACAATACATTTTTGAATATGCAATACAAGGAAACGACCTGTATTGAGGAGGGACGGCTACAATTCACAGCTGTTAGAACACTCCATGAATCGCAGGTGCTCGTTGGCAGGTCGCAATGACGAACAGACTTGGGCTTCATGACACGGTGTATGGTCATGAACATCCTTCCCAGAGGTCTTGAGGTGAATCTACTGATAAAAGATGATGAAAGGATCCATCGGATACTTGAGGCGACTTCGAGAAGCTCAAGAGCAACTGGCCCCGAAGGCCTCGAACCTTTGATCAGCCTCTTGGCTTGGACTGCGGCATGTTTCTTGACAGAGCCTCCTGGAATTCAAGGCTTCGGTCATATGGATTCTTGTGGTGCTTCTTGTGCCGACACCCCAAGCATTCCTTTGCTGTAGCAGTGAGGAAGGATATACAAGTTGTCCAGGAACGTTCATGGATGTTCATGGTAATTTCAATCCTCCAAGTGATCATCCTTGGACTACAGAAGCAGGAGGTACCGTGATCCGTACTCTTGCCGCGATTCTCCCCAGCATGATGCAAATTGGGGAGCGTCCGCGTGTCCAGGGTGGTGAAGATTGACAACCGCCGAGTGAAGTCGCTTGATGACCTGCCAGATGAGTACCTTGGCATCACCAAGACCGGCACGAATTCGCTGAGGCTTGAATATGCGATCCAAGGGTCAGAGATTGAATCGGATTGGATACCATGAGATACCTGATGACGCCTTTGGGGTCAGAATTCAAGATAAATCAAGTGAATCGAAGTGAATCAAACCTCATAGGCCTTTAAGCGGTCAGACGACCGAAGTGCCGCTGTCAGAGCTGCCAAGGTGGGAAGCTGTTGGCCGTCAGTGCTCTGCGTGCGCCCGCTGGGCTCAACTCTTGTCCCGAGGGGCACTTTGGTCAGCACTGCACCATGTACACCAGGTAAAGGAGTCCAACCAGAACATGGGTTGAGATAGCCCGCGTGGGTGACCCATGTACATTGATAGGAACCTGTCTATGCTTCTTGACTCCTTGACAAACATTCCGACATTCTACTTTTCGAATATATGCAAAAATCACCAATTTGGAGGAATTGTCATTGTAAACACTATTGAAGATTGTGCTTACAGTCCTTTCTTCTGAAGAGCAAACGCCATGGAACATTACGGAACCACAACCTCTTGATTCCAAATCAAGGATGCTGAAGACCGAGTGGTCGAGATGATCCGACTGCCCTTCGGCTATCGGATTGAGGCCTGTGAACGTAACTAACTGTAAGAAATTTGTAAGTAGGCGATAGTTGTCATGGATTGTTTGGTGCCTTTTCATCAACTACTTGGCGCTGGTTGGAAATATACTATATAAATATATATATAGATAATATGCGCGTTCCACGACCGAATTTGCAAAGCAAATGTGCAGGTGTTATGGCCAACTGTAGAGGTAGATTGTCTAGTTGCAAATGCACCTATTTTGCCTGGTAATTCTGGGTAGGCCGAACCTACACAACAGGGTCGGACCTATTTCGATCGGAGCCTTGGCACAGAAGGGTTGCAGTTGCAGAAGCAGATGTGGAAAAATGCAGAAGTCTCAAGCAATATCAGGCAATGCATGGTAAACCAGTCAAAGTTGTGCACGATTTTGAATAACTAGGTTGTTACTCTATTGACTCGACGGCTTTTCTGTACCGCCGTGCTTGAGAGTTTGGGAAGTTTGGCATGGTTTAGCCACTGGCAGGTTCATCAGTATCGTCAAAGTGGCCCTGATGGAGGAGAACGCTGCTCACGAGGCCAGCTGCGCCAGCCAGCCTGATACGCGTGCACCTTGCTTGTTGGAATCAGAATCATGGCGGTGGTGATGGAAGGGAGCAAGAAGATGATATAGAAAGGAAGCAATCAAAAAGCCACAGCAGACTTTCTGAAAGGTGATTTTTGCCAACTCGGCAGATGTGAAGCGAGACATCCTGAAGCTTGGAGTGTTTGCATGCTTGCACAGTCAAAGCATGTCAGAACTATCCGGGAGAGGTATACTGCAAATTGAGAGGTTTGCCGGCAAGGTGTGTGAAGTTGTTGGTAGCTCCGGCTGAAATTCGTTTTGTAACTCTATGAGCACACCTAGGGCCAGCTTTGAGCATGTTGGAGAGAACGTGATCACACCAAACAGATGATAGTGGTCTAGCCCAGGAACGGTGGGGCCCGCTTGCGGAAGGCCGCGCAAATGGGTGCCGATGAGCTGGCTCATGAACTGTGTTTGGGCTGCAAGCGACTTTCACCTTCCTTGCAATTTTTGAAATCATCATAGATTCATCGTTGTCTTTTGGAGTGGGAGAGAGAGAGAGAGAGAGAGCTACTATCAGCGAAATTCAGCAAACGGGAGGCATCCGAAAACCCCACTTTAGGTTTCGGAATCGAGTTTCCATTTCATAACTAGTAACAAGAAGCTACTAGGGGCTCCTGGCCTTACTACTAGGAGCAAGGACGCTACTAGGGGCTCCTGGCACGTCGCAAAAAAGCTCCTAGTAGCGATGTTAGGAGCCCCTAGTAGCTTCGTGTTACTAGTAGTAAGGGATGCTACCAAATGAGGAAATAATTGGCACTTCGCTGTGGGCGCGAAAGGTTCGAAAAAGGAGGGCGAAAGGCCACGGCTTTTCGAGAAAAGGATAGAAAAGGACAACCCCCCAAATGAAAAGGCCCTAAAAGGCCCACCCAATGCTTCGTCGGGGTCAGCATTCACACAGCAATTTGTCAAGACTGTGACCAGGAGAGAATTTACTGCCGACCTGGAGACGCAGCCTAGCTGAATGATTGACTAGAAACGCATAGGACCTCCACGCCATCGTAGCTCTTCCGCTTTGTCACACAGGCGCCACTGGAAGGTCATGGTTGAAGTTGTTAGATGTTAGCTTCAAAGCTGTTTCCCGAACAGCGAGGAAAAGCTTTATTCCAGTGGCATATGAATTGGGCGACGATGGCCGTGTACCAGGTTATGACTTCGAAAACCGACAGCGGGAGATGGTCTCTAGCCTTATGCATGTCTTCTTGGAGGACTGACTGATTGGATAGTTTTTTTGGATGACGTTGATTTGACGTTGAACTGAAGAGTCTGGTCTGCTGCAGAGTCGCTCCTGTGTACAGGAGCTGAACATTGGGGTGTCTCTATCTCTTTGGCGAGCCCTTCAGGAACAGCGGCTAGATGATTGCCGGCGCTTACTGCAGGACAAGGTGCGCATTTAGTCACGTTGAGCCCTTTGAGTCCACTAGTCCTGCGGCTGGGGCCTGAGGCCGATCCAAACATCGTGGACGGCAAGGGCAAGACATGCTTGCACCATGTGGCACAGGCCGAAAAAGAGAGATCACATGGAGTATCACACGGTTTTAGAGATCCACGACCTGTGCACTAAAAAAGAGTTGTAGAGATCACCGCCAGAGAGCCGCTTAGCCGCTCAACCCAGCTGTCGCTTAACCCAGCGGAGGCACGAAATCTGGACGCGACCAAGTTGCTTCTGGAGTTCGGGGCATCCTTAAGGCCATTGGTGGGCGATTTGGGGCGGGAAGTGGGATGGACCTCTCGATGGGGAACACACTGAACCGTACAGGCAAGGTGATGGAGCATGGTGGAGCATCACTTCTTTTCAGTACCACTGTGAGCAGCAATTTCTTAGTGCTAGGCTGGTCCTTGGGAGACAGGTTCGATGAACTGCTGACCGCAGCTTCCCAAAAGCGGTTCTTTTCTACCTGTGTCATCCCTAAGGCCTTCAAGACACCCCCTGCTGCTCCTTGCCCAGTGCTCGTGATCATCGTGGGTGCACTCCAGGGCATGCCATACCGCTTTTTGCAGCTCGGAAGCACCTGATTCAGAAGGGCAGGAGGAACCTGCATGTTCTTTAATTAATTATTTGCATATATTGGCATCATTTACTGCTGAACGACTCAGGCTGATGGTGTTACAGAGAAGTTCCTAGAAGAATTTGTGCGACAAGATCAGAATGCGCTTTTCGAAACTGCGCCCTGGCCGAGTACTTTAGCAGAGGCAGTTGGAGTCCGGCTGGTCAGATTCGACTTGCTTACTGAATGTTGGTGCATCGGTGCCAGCCACCTTGCACTTTTGCGGAGGAGTTTGCAACTGGTTTGCCGTCCGAGAACATTAGACAATGGCTACACAACTGTGATGGCTTTTCATATGACATATATATATATAATATGTATAAGTGTGTGTATTATACGTGTATATACATATATAATATATAATATCATATCATATCATATCATATATGTCAATGTCATTATGCACGGCACAGAGGTTTTTGCGGTTTTGCCGAGGACAAGGCTGGCGTATCGGCCATCGAGAGAGCCTTGCTTTGGGCTCAAAGCGCTGTCTCCGGTGAACCATTTGAGCCACTGCACAGTAAGCTCAAGGCCTGTCAGATGAGCTTGCAGTTTACAAATCGCACATGGGCCTTGGAAACTGAATTCATTTTAAGGTGAAGCATTGACCGAAACTTCCTTGAAATCCAACCTTCTGGAGAAGAGTTGAAGATAGTACAATAGTGACAATAGTCAATGGTGAATGTTCCACACGCAAGTCTGTCAAGAGTACATGATCGAACAAGACTAAGATCCACTGGTGTGGAGGGCTTTAGGGGGATCACCACGATCAGGACATTATGCAACGGGAAGATGGAGCAACTCGACAAAATCAGAGGCTTTTCGCATGTTTGCTCAGGTTTTCAACCTCAATTTGCTAATGTGGTGCAAATTACATCTCGCATTCCGGCCCGAGTGTGCTCAAGGCTCACGAACAAACCCCTTAAGGCCTCAAGGTCAGGCAGACACTTCCTGCAGCCAGCCACAGCACATCAATTTCTTCCGTCCACTTCACTTTGACACTGTTTCATGTCTTGTAGTTGCAGATTTCTGACCGGTTTTGGGCGCATAGGTTCTGTAGGCCTCGCAATCACAATCAGCTTTTTTGAGCAAACAAGGTGTAGCCTGAGGCTACCTGAGTTCTCCTTGCTTTAGCAAAAATGAATTGCACGAATTTGAGTGTCTAAGGAAGGAACCTTCTCCCCTGCTAGTAACCTTCCGTTCACCCCGTCCTCTCTCAAGTTCTACACGCAGGAACCCCCTGGCATCCTTTTTCATAGGTGTTTGCAGGGGTCATTTTAGGAGAATGAGCGTTTCGAACTGTCCATGTGCGAACACGCCAAACCAAAGAAGACTGTTTTTTTGCTACAAGGCTCCGAGCCCGCTTAGGACTCAATGCTCAAGTGGCCTGGGATGGAGGATCTCGGCATCAGAGGATTGAACATGAGCTTCCCGGAGGCTGGTGAATATAGGAACTGAAGGGAGAAAGACGGAGGTGAGTCCACAAGGTCCCGAATGTATTCACATGCTTCAGGGTTGATGCAAGTGCTTCTTGGCAGGACAGGGCATGGCTTGCAAGTTTATTACTGGGTGAATTGTTTGGGATTGGGGGGGAGGGCAGTGGGGAAGACTTATAGGCAATAGCATGGCACATTACCTTGGGATCCAAACTTGGATGGTTTCATCTTTTGCCGGGGATGCTCAGATCCGGCAGGCATCGCCTACCGCCGCGCTTGGCAGAGTGGAAACCAGGAGATTGCATTTCAACGGAGTGCCGCGGACCATTTACGTGATGCATCCTGCCAACACCATCGGGACTGGAGACCCCTTGCTATATTTAGGCAGGCCATGCAGATGACATGCTCAACCCAATGATTCTATACTGCCTATGGCGTTCTTGCTCTGAGTAGTGGAGATGACCTGTGCTTGACAATCAAGAGTCGCACAACAGTGAAGCATGTGCTCCTCCCAGCGCCAGGCTTTTGCCGCCTGATGCCGTGGCCATTGCAAGAGCCAGCACTGCGCATCATTGCAAATAAACTGAGTCGCAGGATCTTTTGTATCGCCTCTGAGGCTGTCTCTCGGTCAAGAACCCCAGTGGTACTGTTTGCCGTTTCTGACCAGGGCCATGTTCAGCGGTGCTCAGCAGTGTGCAAAAGCTGCGAGAGTATGTGTTCAAACTTCGGTTCTCCCTCACTTGCACATCAGTTCACCGTGGCAGATTCCTGAAGAATACTGAGGTGAATACCGAGCTGCTCCATTCAGACGAAATTGACACAGATGGCCAGGCCTTCTATACCGACTTGTACACACTCATAGACACGCTACCCCTCCCATACCGGTGGACAGCTTAGTGTCGCAGTGGGGCATTGGCCGCTCAGTAGGATTGACGGTGACCGTTGTCGACCAGCATCAAGTCAACAAGAGCGTTTCTATGCTGATTTGCATTGGCCTGGTCTCAATGCATGGGCCCAGCGAGGTTGGTTTTGATCGATAGCACCTTCGGCGTGGGAGTCCCACTGTTGTGGAAATTGCAAGAGCGGCTCAAGCATGTGCTGATTATCAACCCAAGCTGGATTTTCAGGACAAAGACGCGGTCGACAGTGACGAGAGTCCAAAAACTTGCATATGCATTCGGGCAGGTGTGAATCTAGGTGATGGTGAAGCAGGTGTCAGATTCCGCTTTTACATGCTTTTACGGCAGTTTCAGCTGCCGTCCATGTTGTTGCCACGTAGACACTGTATATATATATATATATATGGTTTGATGTATATAGTCAGATAATAATGTAATTAAAATCAAATGGATTCAAATGGCATCTTCGTAGTAGGAAGTCAGCATTCCCAGGAATACCACGCTGGGAGTTCCTAGAGAGGTGCCGTGGCAGCTTCAACTGTATGTTGGGAAGGAGTAGCCGAGTGCAAAATTGTGAACTCGCTGTGACTCTGTTTCTCTAGGACTAGCATGTCCGAGTTGTTTGGACATGCAGAAGTGATCATGAGCTATCAACATCCGGTTGAGTTTGGAGAGCAAACGGCAAACCACTTTACTACTCCAAATGAGTTGAGAAGACGAAGACCTTTTCTTTGTCCTCCTGTGCATCCAAGGCTCTTCTTGAAAGAGCTAAATTCTTGGCAGGCTTGGCGCGGACAAAGGAGTCTTGGCAGAGATAGGAGGATGTAGGCCTCGACTGCTTGCATTGGGTCTTCCCTGCTGCATTTTCGAGAGAACTGCACCATTGCCGTTGTAGCATTCTGTGCTCTGTCAACGCTTTTGGATTTTTTTTGTTCACGTTTGGTTATTTCCAGCCATGTGGATTTGCCTTAATTTGCCTATCAGGACATCAAAACCATGGTAAAGCACATGGGAGAATTTGCAGTCTCCGTGTCGCTGGCGATGGCTCAGAGCGATGCCTCCAAGAGAGAGTATCAGAACTTCGGCAGACATATGCCGCAACGTGTTGCCAACAAAAGGATCGGGAATCAGAATGGTATACCATATGCATTTATAATAACATACAGTAATATATATATATATATATATGTATATAATATAGATATGTGCATTAATGCCAACTTTAAGTTAAGATGCCTTCAGCATCCTTTGACAATACTGTAGCATTGGGAATGCCATGGCACAATACTTATTGTGTTTTATGTTTGGCAACAAACATTGGGCGCCGCACGATCGTAAATATAAATACCATGCCTGTTTCAATGCTCTAGAGTTCAGGTTCCTTCTCAATGAGTATGAGTCTGGACTTCAAAATGCATCAGATGCCTTTTGGCGTATGTCAGCTGCTCATCCGGTTTGGAACTTCAAACACCTGACGCCACTGCTGCTCGGCGGAGACGTATTCTTTTTATTTGGGGCTAGAGCGTGCTGCTGCCTCCGAGGCATATGTTGTGGCCAACCAAATACTGTAGTCCAAAGTTTCAAAGTCCAGGCGTTGCTTCAATGTGCTTTCTGAGTGTCACTTGCAGTGCTTGAAGTGTTGAAACCTGGACGAACTATTATATTATATAGTGTGCCGTCCTGCCTAGGTTGACGAACCTTCCACCATGGCGGCCGCATCACTCTGTAGTGACTTGCCAGAATATGATTCACACATGCCCGTCAGAGAGAGAGAGAGGCAGAGAGCGAGTGCTTGCCAAACTCAAACGGAGTGGGCACTCAATGTGCTACTTTCAGTTGTTGCTGTTGTTGCCTCGTAGCTGGCTGTATCATGCCTGGATCCTTTTCTTATCCATTACATTACATCACCATTATTGCGATTCCCAGTTGGTGTTCGCAGGACATCATTCTGGTGTACGGAAGCCACTCGCCCTCCATGAGCGTGCAGGATTCTACATACAACCTGCAGGAGAAGATAGTTTCTGAGCTCCACCCAAAATCCAAAGCGCCGCCTCACTCTGGTCAAACTAGCCTTTTCGGGATTTTGTAGTCCTCTTTGGGAAGCATCAAGAACTACTCGAGAACAACCAGAGCTTGGTGAATATTAATTAATATGTGTTGCTTGCGAGTGCAACGTCATTGTTCTAGAACTGTCGTGAACATCACCAACCTGAAACTGGAAGAGGCCTAATCTCAGTGTCCCATATTAGAACTGATATCAATGGATCGCACAGTCAATCATTGCATTGAAGTATTTGAAGGAGCTATTGCCTGGCTCCCTCACAGCCTGTATCGGCATGAGCTCTTTGTTGTGGCACATTGAAGGCACGGTTTCAGCACAAGGGCACCGGCACTGGCATTGTCAGACAGTTTCGTGGTCCCTACTTTGTTGATTTATGTTTGTGTCACATGGGAGATGCTCAGGCAGAACTGCTGCATGTTGAACACTGCCAGGAGTTACGCCAGTGATTGAAGTCGCACGACTCACAGAGTTGATGTGCGGCTTGAATGAAGCGCGCGAAGCCAGTACATTGCGTCAACAGGCCGAGGCAATGATGCAAGAATGTGTTCGCACCTTTTGCTCAGTCGAAGTGGCAATGCTGAGTGCCACATGACTAGAAACGAAGTTGAAACCGCCGGCGACCCCTAGTCACCTAGTCTATATCTTGGTTGTTGCAGGTTCTAGAAGCCATGGCTTCCAATCTAATAGCACTGGCCTCCAACCTAATTAATAGTGGCCTACAACGGTTGTTGTACTCCGTTTGCTGAGGCCGGTCATCCGTGGGCACAGAGTCGCTGAATGCCATGCTGGTGGCACAACACTCGCCAACCTCTACACGGTCCATCCCCAGCAAGTCGCCAGCCACTGGGCTTTCGCATTCGGTCCCCTGAGGTCTAAAATGATCTACCGTTTCTACTAGCTTCTTGTTACTACTAGTAAGGCACTTGTTACTACTAGCGATGGTATATAATGCCGCTTACTCCAACAAGAATGATGCTTACTATGAAGAGGAGTGGGGTAAGCTTCAACCATGAGGTTTCAGACAGGTGGTGCATGTGACTTATCGAGCTGAAGTGGATGCCTCCCTGCGGATTTCTTGTTGCTCAACATTGAATACGTATGACGTATGAACACATGGTGGAAAACTGCTGCGTTTGTCATATCCAATTCCAAGCATACGCAGGATTGCTTTCTTTTTTATGTGTTTACATAATTGGGATGCACATATATGCACATCATGACGCACAGAATAGTTGTTTTCTTGGTGGTCATGTGTCATGTGTAGCTCTAGACATTTATCGTCGTGGTTGTCGTTCAAATGGCAGTGTGGCTGCCGAGGTATATAGTCGTGACTGGAAAAGTGCATCTCGCAATTGTTTCCAGCACTACGTGTTTCTGGCTAGGCTAATTATATAATTGTTTTTTCTTGACGAGACAGACAGACAGACAGACAGACAGAGAGGCGCCAGGGAGTCGCAGGGAGCCACGCCATGGAGAGAGAGAGAGAGAGGGGGAGAGACATAATGAGACATCGCCCTTTTCTTTTTGAGCGTGCCTTTTGCCAAACAGCTGTTAGATAGATGATAGATTTAAAAAATCTATGAACCGGACCAGTGAACGCTGGTCAAAAAGAGTGCAGATCAAAAAGCACAAAAATCGCAGAAGGACGCCGCAAAAAATAAAACACACACACAAACAAAACGCAAAGCAACAGTCAGTTTAAACAACGCAAAGCAAAAGCAAACAAAACGGACAAAACGGATGCACATGCACAACCAAATTTCACGTACCACTTTTTTTGTGTGTTTTTTGTTACGATGTTTGCGTGTTTTGTGTATTGTTTTTTTGCGTGTTGTTTGCATTATTTTGCGTGTTCCCAAGGAATGAAAAAAACAACCCAAAAGGACAGGCAATCAAAAGGCAAATAAGAAGCAAAAAACAAAAGCAAGGACCAGAACGGTTTTGTTCGTTTTTGTTTTGCTTGTTGTTTGCCTTTTTTTTGCATTGTTTTAAGTGGACAATTGTGTGTTGTTTTGCCTTTATTTTTTTTGGCATTCCAGCGCCATTCCAGCGCTTCCCTTGGTGACTTGTTTTTGCGTTTTATGTGCATTTTTTTGCAGCATTGGCTTTGTATTGTTATTGCCTTGTTTATGTGTTTGCTTTGAATGTTTTGCTGTGTCATCAGAACTAGATTTAATGTACATCATAAAATGAAACGATATCATATCATTTAACCCGGCAAATCTGGGAACATTGCCAATCATTGCGCAAGCAGAACAACAAGTTGATGTAAGAATTAAGGGCATATCTAGGCCGCCTTGGTTGTTCCACAGGAAGACTTTGAAGTCCAATATCCGAGGCAGCCAAAAGCAAGCCTCGGCCGCTCTTGATGAGAGCCAGTGGTGGTTCCCTGCAGTTGGGTGGCATGAGCTCAACGGCATGAACATCTAGGCCACCGCAGGGCGATCATGGAGAGAGCATGAGAAGAGACAGACAGGTGAACATTAGAATATAATTACAGCAGACTCAACAAACAGCTAAACTTTGCTCCTTGCAAGCGAGAGGCAAAGCTACCAAGATGAGCCTTTGATGAAGGCAATGCCCTTTTAGCAGGCCAAGAGATTCGGCTGATGCTGGCTTGAATGCCCACATTGTTTTTTCACGAGTTGGGGTTAAGTTTCGCTCTTGCAACCGTTTGTGGAGTGGCATGACATGGCTGATTTCCTGGGATTGAACTCAGGTAGGGTAGAAGTCTTACCCATCCAGCTGCCGAAGGCAGGATGGATGTCTGGTGAATTTCCGAGGAGTGTGACAGGACACCAAAAAGAAAGAGCCATGCGACACACGATTCAGCCCGAGTTGGCATGTTGAATCGTAGAAGGCGTTTGAGACTCACGTCATATCCAAACAGACGCTGGGTTGGGCAGGACGGAACTTGTTGTGAATTGAACAGCATTTTCATCATCTACAAAACAAATTCTGCTAGCCAGCTTGCAAGTGATAAAGACCTGATGGCGGCTGCTGCTGCTGCTGCTGCTGCTGCTGTGGTACCTGATTCTTTCCTCCTCTCCGAAAGCAGCATAATGGGCTGGGTTGCAAGTGGTCTTGGTTGGGAACAAGGATACGAAAACTTAGAGAAAATATTCGTGCGTTAGGTTGGACCCCATCGCTATCAGGTTGGAGGCCATCGCTATTAGGTTGGAGGCCATCGCTATTGGGTTGGAGGCCATAGCTATATATCGCTATTAGGTTGCGCTGTTGTAAGCATTTGTTTGGACAAGTTTACCTGTAGATGTTTCACGGGAAGTGACTCCTTTGAGACGCTGAGATGTGCAGCTACAGCAAGCAGCCGAGGATCGTCGAAGCCTTCTTGTGCCAGTGCCTGTGACCTCCGCATAGGCTATAGGGCTTCCACAACCATGGTTTTCTTCAAGAACCATTGGAGGTTGCAGGGGAAAAAGGAGAGGAGAGTGCGCGACAGCAACAGCAAGACTCTGGCAGAGAGGCTTTCAGCGAGTGACAGGGAGTCAGAGAGAGAACTTGTTCTGGCTTGACCATGGCTCAGCAGAGTCAGTCATGCATCCCCCGGTCTCTGGCAGTGGCAGCATTGGCTGCCAATTCTCCCAGAAAGCAAGTTGCCGAAAACAGATCATCCTCATGATTCGACATATGTTTCGATGCGTCAAGGCAAATGATAAGCTACTTGTTTGTGTGCAGGGTCCAGGTCCATGCTCTATATTTCATGCGTTTCATCTGTGAGGTGTTTGCCTTTGGGGCACGGCACATGCGCTTTTGTCCTTTTGGTGGGTTTAGCTGGAAATGCTTTAATGCAGGGACACCGGGTGTTTTTATCAATGTCATGGACACAGACCCATGCAGGCGCACAACAAGCCCAAGGTGCTTGGATTGACCCAGCGATTGTGTGGGAAAAACGGGGGACAATGAAAGGAGGGATCTTGCAAACAAGTTTTCAGACAAACAAGAAAGACTAACAAGACATTTAAACCGACCTGATTTTCATAGTCATGATGCTGGCATTTGTACAGGTAACATGCAAACCACATCAAATTGTCAGATGTATTTCTTAGAGGACGCTATGGGTAACAAAGAAGCTACTAGGGGCTCCTGGCCTCACTACTAGGAGCAAGAACGCTACTAGGAGCAAAGGGCATCGCTACTAGTAACAAGGACGCTATTAGTAACACATTTGAGCTGAGCAGTAAATCTTTATATAGGGCCACCATGGCGACCTGGTGCCCACCTTTGACAGACACCCCAGCTGTGGGCCCGTGCCTATGCCCCTTTTCTAGTCACTGTCCTTCTGCTCAGGCCAAAGATGCGATGGTGCAAAGGGCGCGCAAAGGGGTCATGCAGCAGGCAGGATTCATCATTGCAAGATGTATATTCAACGAACAGATGTCTTTCAGAACATTTTGTTGCAATGCTATTTGAGCAGCCTCGGGTTTTTGTACACCCTGCGCCCCGTATATACTATATGACTATATGACTATGACTATATGTATAGCAAAACCCCATTGTTGAAGACATCTTAACGCTTGCCGAAACCTCCGCAGATCTTCGGCTTCAGGTGGGTTTGTTGGTTGATTCGACATCAAACCAAAGAAGAATCAGCTTGGAAGGGCAAGAACAAACATGCCAACATGCCGAGACTATGAAATGACACACAAATCATCAACATGTGTCATTAAATTTCATACAATTTCTCCTTTCCCACAGCCGTTGATAGCCATGGAATCACCCAAGTACACCGTTCAGGTCCTCCAGCTTTCAGGAGCTTCCTGCAGGATTTCATTGCCGGAATCCGCTTTGGTCGCCAAGCACCAATTGGCCGAGACTTGATTTGCCGAGCTTGCAACAAAGGTGATCAAACAGCTGCAAACGGCAAGTACCGGCTTTTCCACCTTTAGAATGGTCCCTCCTCCTGACAACGAGAGCTGCTGCCCCTTCATAAGAATGATACTGTAATTGGTTGGTTGTTGAGAGTCAGAGTATACGTGACCTGTGAGCCTTCCTCGAAACATCTCAAACCCTGCCGAAACGAAGGGCCTTCCCTCTGCGGTTGCTGCAAAACCTTCACAACAACATTGGTTCCTCAGTTGAAGAAACAATTTTGATGATTGGCAGATATTGGCAGGGGCCCTTGCAAACCGCTTCAACCCTGAAAGCCAGCTAGTAAGTATACTTTGTTCAACTTGCTTGCGAACTGACATCGGCAACTGAAAAGCTGACAAGTCAAAGAGTTGCAGCTGGCGCCCGAGGTCAGTGACATCCTGCTTGAGATGAAGCGTCAGACCGGCCACCGGATGAGACGCCGGTTGCTGTTTCAAGGCCGAGTGCTAGGGGATCAAGAGACTTTGATGAGCTTGGCGATTCCAGGCGAATTGGAAATGCAGCTGATTTGCCACCCTTACCATGCTGAGCGTTTGCAAGATAGTCAGATGACTCAGATGACTCAGACGTTTCACTTCACCTTGTGTGGTGAACATCAGGTCGGAAAGTCGAGCTTGCTGTGGAGATATGCGGAGAATGTCTTTCGGGAGGATTTCACACACACGGCAGGCCACAATTTCAAGACGATTTCCTTGATGGCGGAGGACACTCCAGTGAAGCTGTTTTTATGGGATTGGCCAACTGGTGAAGAGCGATTTAGGCCTGCTCCTTCTTTGTTCTTTCGGCAGAAGACTGCAGTGATGCTCGTGGTTGACCTTACCAATCCCGCATGCCTAGAAGATGTTGAACACTGGCTTTCAATGATGAAGCCCCATTCCATTCGAACGAAGTTGCTAGTTGGAAACAAGGCAGATTTGAATTCAGAGCGCAGGGTTCAGTACGATGATGCAGAACGCTTTGCCACTGACCGGGGTATGTATTACTTCGAGACCTCTGCAAAAGAGGGGACCGGTGTGGCAGAAGCGATCGAATTTGCAGTTTTTTGATGCTTTGGAGAAAACGCCTAAGCGGGTGAAACCAACTCCGCTGCCGCACACACAATCCAAACCCTCCTGCTACGTGCAGTGAGGCAATGCTGTGGAGAGAAAAGGCCTCAAGATCCTTAAGCGTGGTTAGCGCTCTTTTGCCTCCTTGTGCATGTGCAGGAAGGACCCAGTGACTGACCCATGTGAAGCACACGCTCCTTCCATGTTTGCGCATGTCTGGTAGCTGTTGGCTCATGTTGGCTCTACAGCCACCAAGGAGGCATTCATTAGGATGCATGGACTCACTCGCCCTACTTGACCTGCAAATCATCATGTTCCCTTTCCTATCATCCATGGTCATGCCTGCCATTTCCATTCTTTTCCCGTCGCTTGAACGTCCTTGTCGTTCCATGAGTCGAACAGATGGGTGACTTCCACGTGCGGATTCTTCAGCTCTCCGGCACCGTTTTGGCGGAGTTGAGGCTGCCAGCGACTGCTCATGTACACGACATCCTGCGAGAATTGGTGAGCGACCGCGATGGTGCGCAGAGAGAGCGGAGGCACATGAAGCGCAATTTGGCTTACATTTGCTTTGCCTTGCAAGAAGCTACTAGTAACAAGATGTAACAAAGGGGCATGGCTACTAGTAGCTAGAAGTTAGAAGCTAATATATATAGTACTACAGTAACAGCGCAACACTTTTTTTGGCCCTCCCTCCTGCTTGCCACATTTTGTCATATGTTGGAGCGCCCCCTCAGTGCACACTTTTCTCACCCACATTGATGAAATAACGTCCTTCCACTCCAGGCAAGCTCTTGTACCAGGGTCGGGTGTTGGAGGAGCTGGATTCGCTGGCGAGTTTGGGTCAGCAAGAGCTGGAGTTTCAGTTGATGCTGCAAGCTCAACACGTGCAATTTTGCTATGGAAGTGCATCCGTCGAGACCTTCAATGGACTCAAGGAATGCAAGAGAATGCATTTTGCTGTTTGGGGACCTCCACTGGCTGGCAAGACCAGCTTGATACAGAGATGTAGCGAGAATATTTTCAATGTCCAGTACCATACGGTAATTGGCATTGACTTCAAGAAGGCCCGCGTGTTTGTTGACCACAGCCCAATGGAAATCTTCCTGTGGGACGCGCCTGCTGGGAAAGAGCGGTTTCAAGTTATGCAAGCAGCGCATTTACGGGGCAAAGTGGCAGTCCTCTTGGTGATCGACCTGGCAAGTGACGAGCCCTTCTGGAAGATGGACCACTTTATAAATAGAATCGAGGAAGCCTCCATTGTGACAAAGCTTATGTTGGGCAACAAGCTCGACTTAGAGGCTGAAAGAAAACTCTCCCGGGAAGATGCTGAACGATTTGCTGCTGACCGGGGCTTTCATTACTTTGAAACATCAGCGAAAGACGGCAGTGGCATCGAGGACTGTGTTCAGGGGTGAGCCGGGAGGCTTGTTACTTGAGCCATGGTATTGAGAGTCATGCAGCAGTTGATTCCATCGTTCTGCTCTAAAGTCCGACGGAGATGCGCCATTAGTTTGGAAAGGGATGCGAAGGGTTTTGAGAGAGTAGACAGCCCAGATGGGGTGCAAGTTTCTGCATGTCCCTGTAAGGAGGCGTTCACTTTTGCTATCTTGGAGGTTTTGGAATGTGAGGAGCGGCAACGCTTGTTGCCTCCCCCCAGTCGCCCCACAGAGGCAGCCAGGAAAGCTGTGTTGCATCCAATAATTGAGCAGATCAGATCACAAAAAAGGTGCTAGCCAGCGCAGATCAGCGCAGAGTCGGAATGGTTTAGGATTGCAGTGAGAACTGCTCACTTCAAATTGTGCATTCTTGGAGAATTGCTTGCTACAGAAGGCTTCCGCTTTGGAGGGGCAATGGCCAAGGTGGGCTTGAAACGTCCTGACATTTCAAGTGTCATTAAGGACTGATGTGATGTATTGTGGTTCTCAGTCTCAGGCACCAGCTCCCACCTTAGCTGGGCCAGAAGCAGAAGTGAGAGCATCTTTAGAGGCCTGGCCTCAGAGGTATTGGTATCATTCAGCGTCATTCACATGTGGGCTGGGACTGCTGGGATGTGCAACATTCGCGAAAGATTCGCGATGAGGTTCGCGAAAGTATATGTTTTGTCCGCGAAAGATTTATCGAAGGTCGTCGCTTTCATTGTTTTCCTTTCTACCGGACTGACAAAGAATAGAAACGCAATGCAATCCTCCGGCAGAGCCAGTGGGCGGAAGTGTCCCCATATGTCACAGACTAACGAACTGAAGCCTCAACATTTCCGTGCCCGGGGAAAGCGCCAGTGAAATTCCGCGAAAGATCCGCGAAAGTTTCGCGAATGTGCCGCTAAAGTCTAGGTTCCCAGCTTGAAGCCCCCCAACATTCCCCAAGCTGCATCACCCTGTGTTGGTAGCTGACACGAGGATTGGGTTGAGTTGTGCCTGACTCTATTTGGCACAATTGTCGCACAGATGCTGCAAGTGACCCTGAGTAGCTGTGGAAACGTTCAACCATCTACTCGGGTCATGCTGCAAGATGTCTCTCCCTATTTTGTGATACTATGACATGTTCCGGCTCATGTTGGTTAGACATGGTTGTAGGACCATGCTTCGCGATGAGGCCGCGAAAGATCCGCGAAAAATATCTTTTTTTTCCGCGACGAATGGCCTTTCCAGGATGAAAGAATATTGGTCAACCACCATATATATATAATATATATATATTGGGAGTTGTTGGTGACGAAGACCTTGGCATCCATGTGTTTGCACAATTTTGCAAATACGGTGGAGTGATGCGGTTGTGGGGCTGCCAATAATGCATGAATCTGATTGCGCGGTTCCCGCAACATCGTTCAAGCAATGAGTGCTTGGACTCTAGGGGGGGCAACACAAAGACAGGGAAAAGACAGGGAAGTGTCTTATGGGCCTCCTGCAGGCTCTCAACAATCCATACATATCAATTCCAAGTTGGCTGAATATTGCAACCCAATCGTTCCTGCAAGGCTGCTCAAAGCTCTGGTGGTGCTGATGGTGGACGTGAAGGGCCCAGTTGTGGAATCAACTGCCGTCAGGAAACCTCGCCAGAGTCACAGTGTCAGATGCAAATCCCCAAGGTCAAGCACTCAAGCGGCTGCTCCTCCGCTACATTCCTAGACATTTGCGGTTCTTTTTTGACGTGGAAGTACGAAAATGATCTACGTGGAACTGGAGGATAGTGCACTCGTCGACTGGTCGATTTGTTTGCGTGTAGGTTGTGTTGGCAAATGTGACAAGCATCTTGATTGAAACTCAAATCCGGCGTCGCACATCATGGAACGCTCGCACATCATGGAACACACCTTGAACCGGCCCAAACAAATGTGGGAACACGACTGGCTCCAGCATAAACCTTAGATCACAGCTACAGTGGCGGTTTGGCCGACTTTGGGTCACCATTTGGGCCTGGCACGGCCTGAAGCTATACCGCCATTCAGTTATCTATATAGTTATGATTGACATGTTATACAACTGTTTTCGACTGCAGCTAGATTCGGCTTCTGAGAATGTTTGGAAGGCACCTATATATTGACCCCTACACCACCGATTTCCAATGATCCAAGGAGATTTGGCTGCGTGGCCATGTAACAACCCTTTGCTTGGATAAGTCGGAGCAGTCATATTCTTGAGGCCAAAAATTCGGGACCACCGTAGTTGTGCGATATCATTTCTCAAAAGACGGCAGCTTCGTGACAACGACAACACCTGAGATTGTAAGAAGAGCATGTAACTTGGCAAAGATAAGTTGTTGGAAGGCTGGACTCTTCAAGCAAAAAAGCCGGTCAAGAAGAGGCCCTGGCATGCCAGAATGCCTGTTTTCTCAACAACTACGGGACCCGTTCCCGTTCCCAAACTCGCATAAGTTTGCTCAGCTCTACGACCCGATCACACCTGAAAATGAGACCTTCAACAAGAGGGTCTGTGGACGCCACACCGCATACAGCTGCTGAGCGGCAAGCACCCATTTAGAAAGCCTTTTCGAGCTGGCTCGCAGAATTTGAGATCCGAACCTGACTTTGATGGAATGTCCTGCCGTTTGTCCTCTAATTAGTCATAGTTGATGACTGTTCAATGCGACATAATCGAGCAGACATGCATCAATGGGTGGGAAACAGGAGCATTGCTGCATTGCCAAAATGAAAGGTTTGAAAACAGACAATGTGTGCTAGTGGACCTTTCTTTGCCTAGGCTGGCACCCCGACAAAGCACAGCAAGGGGAGAGCCCTGAGGCTAGAAGCCAGCATAGAGGGAGAGAAAGACGGGCCGTGTAGGGCAATGTGCACAAAGCTTAGACATTCTTTGAGTCTTGAGATGTCTTGAGTATTGAGCAGTTGGCAACGATGTTTTCCTGTTCATGGGATTGTACTTCACAGCCTGATATAACTATGCATATATACAATTCATTATGCTTCCTACAGCTGGAAGCTTGTGGGGTTCTTATTGGCATTGATCGCAACACAGCAAGTGGCACTTGCAGGCCAAGGCTGCCCAGGCTGAAGCGACCCGCGTGCCCCGGCCTCAGCTGTGGACCGTCTCCAGCCTTCTTTCTAATGAATCAAGTCAGTTGTTTTTTGATGCACGTTGGACAAAAGGGTCACCCAGACCAGATGCAAATGTTATATTGTGCTTTGAGATCCTGATAGGCTCCGATTCATTCTGCAAGAGCGTGAGAGGTTCGCTGCCTGGAATGGAGGGTTAAGCTGCTTTTAAATATGCAAATGTGTTCAAGTGTACATCAGGAGCTCTCGTGCTGGCGGTTTAGCGATTCAAGTACATTTATGGAAGTCAGCCACCTGAAGAATTGAAGAGCCCACTTTGCAGGTCACATGTCACAGCAACGTAACAGTGAATAGTGGTTCATGTTTTTTCAGTGTTCTCAGTCAACAGTCCTCCAGGCTTCCTGGGCCATGTGTAAATGGACACCCCCCCTGAATCCTTCTCAGGCTCGGACTTTGATGAGGCTATGAAGGTTTGGTTGGGGTTGCGGCCAGCTAAGAAAATGCATTACTATCATATTGCTTTGTATGCTGCTATTTCTACTCGATTCTTATTGTCTATTGTATATGTTTATATTAAGGTCCAACTTCAACTTAGTGCTTCGAGAACTTCACTGTACCTTTCATTACAGCCTTCAAATATCAACGTTCAGACCCGCCAGCCAGGCCTGACAGTATCCAGCCACCTTCCTGAGATGTTTATACCAAGCCCTTGCACCGAAAGAATACAAGTAATGACAAGTATCATGGTTCTCCAACATGATGCAGATTCAAGCCTCAAAAAGTAATGACGGTTACGGGCAGAATGATGATGTCAAGAATGAAGCGACTCCGTAGGAGCTGTGAATTCACTGCATGTGTGAGCTGTTGGCGCTGTGTGAGCTAGGTAGTTGACCAAAAGTCACACCTTTTGGCATGTTTCAGTTCAAGAATGTCAGGGTTTTGACGAGCATGAGAGGCATGCCATGCACACTATCTGTTCCATGTGGCTGGTGAGGCGGACTTTGCAGGAGTATATGGATAATATATAGATCATCTAAAGGCATTTGATGGCAGACCGGCAACTCGTGCTGATGTCAACCCAATGTCGCTTGGTCATGATGGCAGAGACGACACCCGCTCATTGTCCATTTGACCACGCAGCGCTTGGCTCAACCTTGTTCGGGCTGAGCATCGCACAGCCCTTGCCTCAGTTCCGGCAATTCCCACTGATCCAACCTCGGGGTGGCAAACTGCTTGGGAATCGGTAAGGCACAGGGAAAGACATGTTCATTGGTGCACATTTCGTTGACATGCTTCTGCAGAAAAGCACCCCATGTATTAATGGCTGTTCCTTTGAGTGGCGCCGCGCGATACCTTAAACAAAGTTGCATGGTGGTGCTTCTCTGCAATCCGGCTCAGGAAGCGGAGGAAAAAAATCCAGCAAAGCCTATTCATGCCAATCGTATGTAGACTCTAGACTCAGCCGCACTCTCGTGGTTCAATGACTTGAAGTGCAGCAAGTGGAAGCAGCATAATAAAATGTATCAATCAAGTGGACTTCATTTCTTGCGTTAGGCCGCTGCTAGGACACAAGCAATTCCAGACTATATATATATATCAGATTAGCATAAAGCCTTTTAACGTCAAATTATGCTGACAAGTGATAGCTCTGTTGTGCTGATGGCTGCGCACTTGGCCAGACTGCTCCTTTCTGCTTCCTTGACAGCACTTTTGCACTTTGGAGATTGGCGTGCGGATTGGCACGCCACTGGCTGAAGCTAAGGCTGTGTTGCTGACAGCCGATGCGGGCAACTTCAGTGGAATCCTTAAAGTGACGCGTGTGCTGCTCCTGACGGGCCAATTCTGTGACTGGGTGAGGCCAGAACATCTCTTTCCAGGACCTCCATGGCAAGCTGAATTATCTCAGACTTCGGCCGGGACCCCAATGATTGTGCAGTTTCCTATCGGAAGAAATGCGCTTGCAGAATGTTGCAGGCCTTTTCATTTTCCTCACTGTGGCACAGGAATGGCAGTCTTCAATGGTGCGCCGAGAAGCGCTGCCATCAGCCAAAGTCTCTCCAGTTGGACTTTAATAGTAGCCTAGAAGGCAGGTCCCGAAACGAAGTGACCGGTCTAACGCATGAGAATTGGTGTGCTCAATCTTCCGGGACTGCTAGAACCACGTGGGCCCGTCCAAGGTCCAAATCCAGGTTCAATTCCTGACGATATGCTTCAAATTGTCCTGTTGGAAAGGGGCCTGTGAGTTCTTTGGCTTTCCCGCCGTTTTTTTTTGTGATCATTCTTCAATTCCTAATTTTCCTGATCCCATAGCCTAGCCCTTGCCAGAAGGATCAAAAGCTTCGCACTTGAAGAGGAGTCAGCAACCTTTGAACATGTTTGAACATCTTAAAACTGAAAGGACCATATGTTCACCCAGAGAGCTAGACACTATAGATGAAAGTGTTACAGTACAAGTACTATAATGTACTATATATTTGTTTCTATGTGTTATTATGTTTTTGGATATTCGAAGAAGTTTTATATAGGCACGTGTAGTTTTCTTATAGACCTTCCATGTGCCTCCTTATCCCTCAAGAACTTGGTCAGGACTTTGGGCTGCAAAGGCATCAAATGAGGTAAAACTATAGTGAGCGTATCAATCTTCCAAGACCCAATGAGAAGTTAAACTTATGATATACCCATGCCAGAGTTATTGATCAGCATATGACACTACGACTTTCCTGCGAAAGGTTGGACCAAGAAATGTTGAAAGGGAGTAATATGAGCTTATCACTATGACTGCAGATTGTAGGGCCTTTGTTGCAGTGCTAATGTTTGGCAACTGCAGCACGATTGTCGCATTGCAATTGGTTTGCCTGTAGGCGACGCTGCAGGTTGCAAGTACCACGTGATTGGGCAATTGCCAGACAGGTCGGATTGTGCTGTTTTCCAATGTCTTGATTATGACACACCCCATACGAGATAGGATTTGCTCAGTCAAGGTTGACCGTTTTGAAGCCCAGTGTGGCTAAGCCTTCAGATTTTGAACCACCTTGGGCTATCAGTGTTTCTCAAATTTTGAGCCTACCGACCTTCCGCCAAGAACAACATCCAGACCTTCAGCCACCAAGCTGGACCTGACGGCCATGCACCTTGGACAAGCAAGGTGCTCCACATGTGTTGCCAACATTACGTCCCACATGGGGTGGCAAGAGCATGACTGGACCACTGGCATTCTGAAGGCAACAGTCAATGTCCGTTTGTTCCCAATACCTTTCTGAGGCCTCCGCACATAGGGCCTGGGCCCCTAATCTTGCGCGATGGCATGATGGCGCAACCAGCGACGAAACCCTTGGTGAAGAGCTTGATCCCAACTCAGGCCTGACATATGAGCAAGCTACCACATCACGTCCTTTGCGTTGTAGAAACAAATGGCATCGTACTTCGCTGGACATGTTGGGTTTAATCGCAGTTGCATTGCTAGGTATGTTCAACCACGCCAGCACTCACCAGGTGCAGTTGTCAGCAAATTTCCTTGGGCCGCTGCAACGGGATCTTGTGAGAGAAATGCAGATGATGGCGAAGCAGGTGCGAGCGTTCCTGGATACACTTATGTAACCCTTCCAGGCCTTATTGGTCCTTAGTCCTTATATGTCCTTCGTGATGGGTGAGCCCTCATCAATGCTCCTCATGAAAGAGTTGCCGCTAGTGTTCGGCCAACATCCTGAAATAAGGACTGGCAAGTCTGGCACGAGTGCTTGCAGTGCCGGCACAGATGTTTGGGAAGAGACTGTCATAGGGCTTCCAACCTGAGCCCCATTGGCACTGTCAGGTTGTACATGGAATGCTGCAAATAGCTGCAAATCATGCGAGTGCAAGTCACAAATGATAGCCGATCTGATAGCCTTCAACTAAATAATGCAACACAGCCGGGTCCAAAGTCCTGACACGATTATTACGATGCAGGCGGGTGTGCCGATTTCTGGAAGTGCACTGGATGAGCTGAGTGCTCCCGCTGCTGGTGAGGTAGGCACAGATGAAGGACTTTGATACTTGTAGAACTGATGGTGTAGTGTACTGAAGGGCCAAGAGTCGAGTCTAAGAGCAGCAATGACGCGCGGCGCGACGTCTTGTTTGTCTCCGAAGAAGGCAGCTGCTTTCAAGTTGCAACTGGAGGACTATCCTTTCCTGTGCCACTTCAGCCAACTGGCAACATATTCATTGCTCCTCAGTTCGCACAGTTTGGGGAACAACGGAACTCTATCACGAGACATTGTAGCTAGAGCGCCTGTAACCTGAGCATAAACCCCGAGAATGTCCATCCGCCGATTACGGTAGTAGGCACTACCGGCACAAATCATTCCAAGTCCATCATGTGGCTGAGGTCTTGAATTGGACAAATGCCACCGAGCCCTGTGTGGCCGTGGTGCCACATCCAGAGGATTGCAGCACTTGTTCCTTTGGCCCAGACAGCTGTCGTGGGGGCCCTGGTGGTAATGGCAGCAAACTAAACTTGCTTGACAAAACATGCCACCACAAACACAGTAATATCATGTAATATCCTTGTGTTAGCAAGACTTACCGTAGCAGACTTAGCGCGCTTTGCGCGCATCCCTATACCTGTGCGGTCCCATGCTGTTGCAATGGACAAGACTAAGACCAGACTTGGAAATCAGTTTCCAGTCTAAGCGCGGCTGGAAGCGCCATTCCTCCAAGGAGCTAATTCACGCTTGGAGGGCCCGGACAAGGAGATTCCGCAGAACCCAAGGGGTTAAACGCAAAGGCTGACATGATATGTCATGGAAGAGACCTGGAAGATCATGGGAAAAGTGGCAGATTCTGCCTGATATGCCCCGCATTGATAGGAGACCCTGCTTTCTTATCAGCTTCCACGTCAGCCCTTTATGTTGACCGACGACCTGAATGCACGGCACGAGCATTCGGTTTGCATCAGGGAGGCTAATGGCACTGCGCTTGGGCCTGGAACAACCTTTGCCAGAGCACATCTATATAGTAGAGCTGCGTTTGGGGACACGTCACAGCGGTGATCTCGTTGTGTGTGTGTGTGGAGTGGGTTTGACAAGCTTAGGAAATGATCGTTTTGACACTTCAACTGATGCTCCATTCATGTTGTCAAACTCAGGTGCCGTCCCTTCGGTTGCTGGGGCGGATTGCCTACTACAGGAAGCCACAAGTAAGCTTCATCAAGTGCCTTGGCGGCACGCATGTTTGTAAGCGTTCCACAGAGATTCCTTCCTAGATCTATTTGCTCCAGAGCGTGCCACACTAGGAACATTTTGATCATTGGCGTTCGGACCTTCATCAACCCGGGCTGGCACGAAGAGATACATTTGCAGTGCACCAACTGCTCAGCAGCAAGCCAGGTCGGGCTGCATCACTTCTGAAAAGATTGAAAAGTTAGCTCACCAGTCCAAGTCGGAGGAAAACAGTCCAACTTCATTGTTTTGGGAAGTTCGTTGAGGAAGTCCTGACCATTTTTCCAATACCAGGTGGTGGTTCAGCCTATCTCCTATGACTCGCGCTGCCGCAGCGTCACGCAGCAGATGCTGGCAGCTCTGGCAGTTGCCAACCGTCACGAGGAGGCATCTTGTTTGCCCGTATGGGTTTCATTCTGCAGACGAGCACGGTCCCTTGTCCTGTGTACCCCGAACATTGGGTGCTGCATGTTTAGTTGAGTGGGTGGAATATCTTTGGAGCTGGGCACCTGACACCTTCGACATCCTTCGAAACCACAAGGATCACCATTGGTGAGCCCACGGTTGGCAGGACATGTTGTTGTTGCTTTGCGACGGTGAGCTCAACTGCGAGCCCACATGCATTGTGCAATTGTGCAACACAGGTATGAGTCGACATGAAGCTTTTTTTCATCCACGGCCCCAGCCCAATAGCATCCAATAGCTATCTTTGATACTCATGGAGAAGACTAACTCTAGGACTCTAGGCCAATCCCAATCTTTGGAGCCGCGTTTGACGCGCAGATGCCAGCTTCAGTGGACATATCGGAATTGCGTGACTGGACTCAATCAGAGCTTGTGAAGTGCCATTGCTTGATGTTCATGATGTTCATACGTAGACGGTAGTCCCGGTTGCCCACAGGTTTTGGCCAGTGATGCAAAGAGGAGTCGTTCGATGGTCATGTTTCCGCAATGATTTCCTCTCCTTGGCATCACAGAGTCACACCAGGCCTGACAATGCCCACTGAACAATTATGAAACTTGATGTGCAGGGTGAACAGGCTCTTTGTCTCTCTCTCTCTCTCTCTTTGCAAGTCTTCACCTTGCGTAGGCAAGGGTTTTTTAGGGGTCGATGCAGACTGGTAGACACAAGGTGCGTTGTAGGCTCAAAAGGACCCGTTCCTCTACGCACATCTGAGGCAACAGTCAGATGGAGGAAGCTGCACAGCATGGTGACCTTCGCTGCACTGAGTTCCTTTTTAAATCTTGTGTTCACTCCGCTGATGGTCGAGTAGTGATTGATGCCTGACATGATGGCACATAGGCCAAAACAAGGAAGTGACAGATACTACGTAGCAAACATAGTGTCAGAGGGTTAGGGGAACATGTCCCAAACAGAACCGGACCGGCAGGTTGGACATCTATGCAGTTATCCACATTTGACATTGTGGACGCAGTAGCATTGACCCATGGCCCATGATGCACGCATTTGATGGATGAGGCACGACGGCCGGAATCAATTGTCCAGTGCCTTCATCCGGTCCATGCTCTGGTTACGCCGACGGAGCATTCGCGGTGGGCTACCGGAAGGCCTGGTGTGTCCTATGCTCTTAGGATCTCGAAGGCTTTGAACATCTTGAACAGTGGACACTCAAAAGCACGCACTTTTTGGTTCCCGAGTCCACTGACTATGATGACACATCGTGGCCATCTCAGTGAGGTTGTCCTGCTTGTAAAATCTTTGCAATTATATGGCTGTGCGGGTTCAGATGAATTACTCATTCATGTCATTCTTGTTCCTAGTAGCTTCTTGCTCCTAGTAGTAAGGCCAGGAGCCCCTAGTAGCGTCCTTGTTCCTAGTAGCGATGCCCTTGTTCCTAAATGAAGTACTCATGTCATTCTTTGTGCTGCAATTATTCCACGAAAGGAGAGTTTGGAGGGTCACGCAGATGTCACGGTCACGTCGCGGGTGCTGGGCGCCAATTGCAAACGGTGCAAATGCCACCTGTTGGCTAAGGCACGCCACATTCATTCTGGACAGCTCCAGAAGGCCTAAATGACCATCAGATAGCGATGGAAAGTCTTGATGATAGTCAAGTTCTCAAGGTGACCAGCAGAACTTAGCTTAGCGCCATTGCCAGATGGAGTGATTCAATGTTTGGGTCACGTCCCCTTGCCACACAAGCGCAACATTGCTCCTCCTGGCCCGTTTGTATAACTTCATGATGCTTCCATGAATTCAAGGGGTTCAAAATCTTCCAAGTGCTAAGACAGCAGGTTAACTGGTCACGAGAAGCAGATCTTCTTCCACCATAGGAGCGCAATTTGCCTCTATCCAGGAGCGCTTGAGAAGCAGATTTAGAATATTTGTGTAGCTCAGACTCAAGCTTTTCTGATGGGCCTTGTTAAGGAATGTTAAGGTTAGGCAGATCCAGAAGCTAAAAAGATGGAACCCACGAACCCGAATGCAAACACACGCCGAACACAAACGTCCAAATTGCTCGACACTCTTGTAAGACACTCTTGTAGGCGGTGCTCTTGTTGGACACTTTTGTATGAGACACTCTTGTTGGACACTGTCAAACAGTCACTCGTGGGGCACTCTTGTGGAACACTCTTGTAGTCTTGTCAGACGCCCTTGCGAGACTTCCTCCAAAAGTCACGCGTCCAGTCTCCAAAACGAGCGCTTGGTACGAGACTTCCTCCAAAAGTCAACCGTCAACTCTCCAAAGCGAGCGCTTCGTACGAGAGATCCTTCAAACCTTCAAAAGTGAAGCGGGAACTTTCATCAAAGCAAACACACAGCCTGCAGCCCTGTCAAGCAGTTCCGCAATCCCAGCCCCTCAAAACAGCAACTGCGGACAGACCAATCGCAACGTTACAGCAACATTGACTCCACCAAACATCGCAACCTCACGATTCCCTGTGCCGGCCACCCACAAATTCGACTTCGATACCTCCAACACGCACAAAGTACTGCACCTGCCAAGAAAAGTGACGATATGACATGTTCATACGTGTCAATCATCAATCATGCATGTTCATGTGTTCAGCAAAATTTACACCACACCACACGTTTGGAATGATTTCAGCACAGTCTGAGCACACTCCCATTCACCAACATCGCCATTTTGGCTTGAGACTTGTGGCAAAAATCGCATTGAAGCAACGGCCTGAAACGCAAGTCTCAATGTCACAGCCATATCCAACACCTCAAAAACACAGGCCTTAAACGCAAATCTCAATCTCGTGGCAAAGAAGACTGAGGATCGCACAAATCGCTGCACCTGCGGTGCGCAGTCATATCATCCTCCACACTTCAACCCGTTACTATACGTTTCCACACGTTTCTGCGCTTTGCCGCACAAACCTGGCAGGTGAGTCCTGCCCCCATCCAAAAGCTTTGCCTGATGCCAGCGCCATAGCGACCTACCGCGAACGGCTGCGAACACCTCACAACGGTTACGAACGCAACGCATCGCGACCAAGACTCCTTATACCCCCAGACCCCATAGTTAAACGAGAAACATTCGCTACGCATTCGGGAAAACCATGTGCAAACCCAGAGATTTTGAATTGTCCGGGATCACATGATTGGAGCCGAAACAAATTTTTGACTAACCCATGCTACATTGAAGGAGGGCCAGCAGCGCATGGCTGGTTGGTGGGCTTCGCAGTGGTCCACATGCCCTTCGACTGAAACAGGCATGCGCCCACCTTTTTCTGATACCGCCCAGTGCCGATGGATTTGTCTCTTGCTTCCCTCTTGAAAGTTTGCCAAGAGCTTTGGGTGGAGTCTCCGAGGACTCGGCGAGTGCTTGCTTTTTGATTTGATTTTGCGCGGGCTGAGGAACGTCTTAGATATGCAGGCAGGAGGACTTTGGGAAAGTTGCAAGGTTTGAACGAGCCTTGTATAGCATGTTTGGGCAACCTGGTGATCGAGCAACTTGGTGATCGCGCCGCGCCCGCAAGCTGTCAGCACCCCCCCTAGGTTCAGACACTATAAAATGTCGATGTCGTCCCCTTACAAAATGTTTTCCCACGATACATTTTATAGGCCCAAACTGGAGGGCTGGCAATCATAAAGCAGCAGTTTTGGAGCACGAGGTCAACACAATTTACAACAGGTCTGTTCTTTAAGCTGTCGATCATATCAGGGGGTCAATACATGTTGTAAAACACCATTTCTGAAGCAGACACAAGATTTGGTTTGCTTATTTTGCGATTCAACACATTTTATAAGCTACACCGGCCCTCACTCTGTCGATGCGCAAAACACATGAATCTTGTTGTCAGGCTGCTGTTTTGTTTGTGCGCCACTATATATTGGAGACTGGGTCGAAGCATTCACGGTAGCAACAAACCAAGAACCTGTAAATAAACAAACCAAGAGCCTGACCACAAAGGCACGTGGTTCCAAAGATATATATAGATCTCTTGAATAAAATGTAGCCCAAGATACATAAATAGTGAGAGACGGGAACATAGTTGTTTGGCTCGTTTTGCGGCAGAAAAAAAGGATTGAGGCTTCCAAGAGAGTCTCCGAGAGGGCCGCTGAGAGGGTCGTGGAGAGGGTCAATGCACTTTATATATAAATAAATTTCCTTAGTAATCGATTGTTTTCGGATGAGGTCAATACAGTCATTCTATAAGCAGCAGGCTCTGCCATGCATCAGTTGGCTTGTAGCGTCTTGAGTCTTGACATTTTATAATTTCAGCGGTTTATATAACATTCTATAGGGAATTTTTGTGTGAAATGTATAGAGCACACATGTTTTATGAAATAACATCTGCAGCCCATACAATTCTTTTTCGATTTTTGCCGCCATGTGGCGCCTCCCAGCACGTGCTCTCCGATGCCGACCCAGGCAAAGACTGCAACTTGCATAGATGGAGATGTCTTTGGGGTCGGGGACACTGCATGGTCATGCAGTAAGCATTTTGCTCCCATTGGGACAATCTATATAGGAATTTTTGTGCGCAAAGTGAGATCGTCCTTTCGATGCCTGAAAGAACTTAGGCTCATGAGGAAGCATGTCCCAGTGACCTATTCAGTCGAAGTCCCCTTAGTGCACCTCGGCCAGTGTACGCATCGCCGGCACAAGGGACAATGATGAGCGGGAGTTGGGAGAGGGGCTTCTTTTCCAATCTTTTCCCCGCCCTGCTGTTTTGTTCTCCTTTCCTCTGGCTGTTGGGAGTCAGTGTTGCAGTGTTGCCTGTTGCCTTATTTTGTTTCTTTGCTTGGCCTTACGGCCTTAGTGCGCCCTGAATTTCCTGACTCGCCTATGGTAGAAGATTTGCGTTTTGCGAAGCTTTGCAAGGCTTCTTTTCCACCCGCTGGTTCCGACCCTTCGCGCGCAACGCTTTCCGTGCTGAACCCTTGCTAATTGCATATTCCGTACCTTGTGAAATGATTCAGCAATCAGTCATAAACGAATGTTTAGCTGAATCATTTCCATCAATCCTTTGGCCGGATGGGCGTCCATCTATCTGTCTATCTATCTATCTACCTATCTAGTTATCTAATTACTATATAATTATCTATCAATAAATCCATCAAGCTATAAATTTATATAGCGCAACCGTCAGGCGCAGGCTTAGTAGGATGCAGGCGGCGTGAGCAGGGCCCGGCGGGGGTGCGAGACAACACCCCCCCTGTGCGAGATGGGGGCCGGGCCTGATATTGCTTTACCAGAAGCATCACCGTCTCCTTCCAAGCCTTTGAAGGCAGATGACATAAGCACGTCTTATCATCTAGCAATGCTTCCAAGCCAGCCACACAAGTTGGTACACTCAGATAAAGCCGCAAAAATGATTGAACATGGATTCTTAACCATTTTCCAAGGCTTCAAAAGGCTGCAACCTAAAGTAGTTTAGGTTGCAACCTAAATCAGGTCATATAATGTCCGTAATTGTTCACCTATTGTTTTAGTAAGTCTAAGATGTTGCAGGTAAAGAGTAGTCTAGGAGTCTAGAACGAGCGCCGGGGCCACGCCGCCCGTGGTCACCTCAGTGTCGCCACACCGAAACACCCTGGCCCCTGGCCCTGGAGGTTTCAACGGGGCTGGGACCACAGACAGTCTCTAAAGTTGCCTTCGGAATCCCATAGACAGTGGCAGCGGCCAAGCCTGCGCAAGGAGGCAACCGGCACCGAAGGCACGCCACCTCAGCGCAGCGACTGCCAGTCTCGCTCTCCAGGAAGAGTAGTCTAGGACGAACGCCAGGTACCACCCTGAAGGTTTCAACAAGGCTGGGAGCGGCTGCTAACGTAGCCTTCGGAAGGCCATAGAAAGAGTAGTCTAGGGTAAGTGCCAGGTACAAGCCGCCCAGGGCCTGCACAAACAAGCCGCAGCCTCTCTACAAGGCCACAACCAAAAGCACCGAGGGCCACCACACTGCAGGTTTCAAGGGGGCTGGGAGCGACCGCTGCCAGTCTCTAACATTCCCTTCGGAGTCCCCTAGAAAGAGTGGTCTAGGACGAGCGCTAGGTACCTGCGAGCCACCTAACAAAGCGGTGTGATTGACAACTTAAAGATCTTAAAGGCTACACTTATCTACACTTCAAATGTCGTGAAGGGCTAATACATCAACCCCCCACATATGCCTACTATGGTGGCAGCCCTGCTTGCCAATGTGCGCGCGCAGTGGCTTTAAGACGTGAAAAGTTAGCAGCAGTCGACTGGTCAAGAGTCAACAGTCTAGATATATACATACATGTTACAGTCCTGCCCTAAGGGTAAACTGCAAAGGGGTTCTCTCAGATGCCCGCCCACATTCACACATGCATGAACACACTTTAGGGTTTGTTGGTTCTTGCGTGCATCATGTTTAATCATGTAGGTTGTGCATGCCGGAAACGAACATGAGCTCAGCATGGCCGTCCAAGATTGCTCAGCAGCCTTGCTGGCTCTCAGTAAGCCCACGTGTTTGTGACGAAACCGCTTGAATTCCGAACTTTTTTGTTTTTTGCAAACCCGTTCCGCAACATGCTCGGAAAAAAAATTGGTCCGAAGCGCCAATGGCGCGAATGGGAAGTGAGTGTCGAACAGTTTTTTTGGTGTAGAGCGAGGTTGGATTCTGGCCCGTCAACTTTGTACTTGCTTCCCTCAACAAAAATAACTATATACCAATTCATCCATTAGGAGGTTATGAGATGAGGGTAGAAAGTCGGGACGGAACTTGTGCGATGGGGTTTGAAGTTTGGGAACCGGTTGAAGTAGAACCCACGGAGAGTTACAAGGCAATCCTGATTCATGAGTTTGGCCAATGGTTGGCCAGAGAGTCTAGATGAAACCACGGTGCCAGTGCAGTGACAAAGAAAATTTCATAGGTCAAAAGATTTCATAGAACCAAAACAACACGGCAAAATGTCCATGCATGTTCATGGGAGGGGCTGCGCTTGCTGAGGGTCTCTGGACTTCGATATTGCAGTTCCCAGTCTGAACGGGCAGTGTCTTGTCTGTTCAGTTCGTTGCACCTAGTTTGGACGACAAAGTGGTGTGGATTTGTTTGACAGATGCGATAAGCAATGCCCATGCCATGTAATCCTAAAAGCAACATATATATATATATATACACATTAACTATAAACTATATATATACATCAGAACACACACACATATATATATATATATACATATTTATACAGCAATTGAAGTGGAGAGTGCAGAAGAAAACTGCATGACCATTGCGTGCGCTTAGGAAACGGGTGACTGGAGCAAAATCTGGGATGACGAGGTGAAGGAGTTGGAGGACGTAATCAGGCTTGTGGTGCGTGAAACTTCCCAGAAAAGTAGTCAACTGGCTGGCATAGAGCCTTTGAATGGGCGAGTTGCTGGGTGCCTGCGAGTATGGCCAAGCAGCGTCTCAACAGGCTAGAACTGGAACGTGCTCCCGATGGTCTTCCTGGAACAAGATCAAAAGAGGCATATGCAATTGCCTTCACTTGTAACGCACCTTGGACTCCCAACTTTAGCAGTCCTTCGCTGGCTCACCCACCCAAAACCTACCAAAAGATGGTTGCTTAGGACATTACTCCAACAGGTACGCTCCCTCCAACAAACAGTAACACGGAAGTGGGCAATCCATGACAAATCCCCTCGTTCCAGTTTGTCCTTTCCACTTCCATAATTGTTTCAGGGAGTTGCTCGGCAGTTTCACGTGTTGTTGAATTTACACTTGAGTCAGTTGCAAGTTGCCCAAAAGCCTGAGGTTTGTGACGGCCGGAGCGCCAAGAAGATCTCAAAGCGTGCCTCGTCTTGCATGTTTGATGCCAGACAAGCTTGATTTGTGATTCCTTGTGCTCTCAGCAAGGTCCACCTTGACTTACTCAACTGGCAAAAGCCTGAAGCTGTCAGACTTGGACTCGTTGTAGTCCAGGTGCTTACCATCATGGAGTCGTCGTTGTCACTTGCCCTCACTGCCAGAGCCTCGCTTGCAAGATGCAGCAAAGCAGGCACGTCATTGAGCTGATTTGTGCAGGGTTGCAATGTCATGGACTTCACGTTCTTCTTGTTGAGGAACCGTCACCTGATCGCAGATCGCCTTGGATGGCAACACTCTCAGGAAGTTGCTACTTTTGGCCAAATATTTCTTGTTGGCCGCAAAAAGGTTCAGTTGTGAGCCTTTGTCATTGTATGCCTCAAGCTTTGGACTGACATTGCTTCAAGGTTCGAGGAAGGAGGCACTGATATTGAGAAG